TGCCTGCTGTCACAGAGAAGTGTTCTTTTACGGATCAGAAAAAATGAAAGTGGTTATTCAGTTCGCTACAAAGTAAGCCTTCTGGAGCCAAACTCATTCCTATGTGAACAAATATTTATCTATACATTACAAATTTGGCTACAGGATCTATGAGCCAGCCACATAAGCTCTGATATTCTGTGATCATCTTGGGCCTACCATTTTGCCTAGAGTTCCTTTCCATTTCTCATGTCTATTCTTCTAAAATATTTCTCTAGTATTCAGTATAAAAATTTTGGAAGTTTTAATTCTTAACACTAAATTGTCCAGTTATTTGCTTTCTTGTAGTGTTTTGTGTGAGTGTGTGTTGCTGTGTGTGTGTGTATCCTTGTGTATGTTTATCTAACATGTAAAATTTTAAAAGGTGTTTTTTATATATGAATAGTTTATATGTTGCATATCATGTATATATACTATATTATTCTTGGAAATGTTGACAAGTATTTTTATATAGATCGTTATTGTTCATATAATACAAATGTATTATCTATATCATGTCAAGTTTGCTAAGAGTATTTTATAGTTGATATATCAGACATATAATATAAATCATCTATATGCACACACACATGTACGTACATACACACACACTCAAACACACACACACACACACACACACACACACACACACACACACACACACTATGTAAGCTTTACTAAAAGTATTCCATCTAAAGCCACCATAGCCAGAAATACTGTTGCTCTCCTTGCTCTCCGAGAGAGCTTTCAGCAGTAAGAGTGCTACTAGGACCTAAGCTCATTTGACTTTTTTAAACCTGTCATTCTCCTTGAAACTCCACATAGATTATATTACTATTAGAATCAGTGTATGCTTCAAACAAGAGGGACTTTCACTGCTGTTATAATTTCTGAAATCCAGTGTCCTTTGAGAACAGATGCAGCCAAGGCCTCTATGGCAGGATCCTCACTAACTCTGAAAGGCCCTATGTTAACATCCTGGTTTCTTTGTTTGTTTGTTTTTTGTTTTTGTTTTTACAGAAGGTCTCTGGTCTCTAAATAGTTTCGGTACATAATGAGGCACATGGCAAAGTAAAAAGCATGGTGAGATACTTCTTTGTGTCACTGTAGATCACTTCTCTGTCATAAGAGTTTAGAAATTCCCTCGAGTCAGGACATAGTGACACATGCCTTTATATTTCCAACATACAAAGTTAAAGTAACATCGTCCAAACGGACACAAGAACAAAAAAGTAATTAGAACTAACACTGGGCAACTTGATGATGGGGGATACTTCTATGAAAAAAGGGGAAAGGCTTTGGTAAAATTTGTCAAGAGCAGGGGCACTGGAAAACCTGTTATGTGAATGTGCCCCCAGGGACCTCTTCCTGAACAAGCATTACACATGATGTATCATTTTCTGCAGATCATAAGTCATGGTGGCCATACAAAGGTGATTCAGAGACAGACTGGAAAATCACCACGACTTGAGAAGTGACAGACGACAAACCTTGTAGCCTACTTGAGGTGGTCAGGTGACTCATCAAGTATTAAATTTAAAATCTGTTTTGCCTCAAAACTAGAAAGCATCAAAGTTAGATATGAAAGTCTATTCTTTGAGGATATTTGAGGTTCCTTTTAACTACAGCACAATGTGGTCTATACCAGACATCATCTGCTCTTGGCACATATTTTAATATTTAAGTGTGTGATTATTGTTCTCACAGTATATAATTATATTATCCAATAAATACTTACATGTTGACTTCAGTTGCATGGATTGAAGAAAATACAGAAGGATGAGCAGGAGCACCTAATTAACTCTTGCTTTCCTAAATTAGAATAATTGAAAAGGATAGACTAGACCATGCTTTGATTTGAGAAGGGAACAGGCACACAGAAAGTAGACTCCAATGTAATTATGAAACTATTTAACGTAGAGGTCATCCTAATTACTTTAACCTCATGAATGTTTTGCTTTTTAATGGGAAAGTGATTCTTAAGAAACAATGTCACTTATATCTTCTTGTTTTTTCCAATAGTAAAACAATTAAAATTAATAAATACCAAAGTCTTTAATCTGGTTTTAGAACACACAATGAAACAGAAATCTAAGCTTTGGGTACAGCTGTATTCATATAGTAGCCAAAACCATCTGCCATTTACTGGCTAAGTTTTGGTTGCTCTGTTCATGTAAACAAGTGAGGTATATTCTCTGTATCTCAGAGGTAAGATGTCTATACCCTAGCCATATGCTTCACAAGCAGGAAATTGTTGTCCACACTGTCAGTGACTATGAGTGTGCACCAACAGTAAGAATGTTGAAACAGTTAAGACCAGTGATGAATAAGCCAATCAAAGTGCACTATTTCATAGGCAGCATGTGTTGACATGGTCCTAGAGAAGAAAGCTCACATAAAGGAGAAATCTCCCAGCCCAGTCTTTTCCACACAATGCATCTTTAGAGGTCCTTTGTCTCATAATATTTTGCTAGGGCTTGACTTTTCTTTTCCTTCCTTCCTCCCTTCCTCCCTCCCTTCCTTCCTTCTTTCTTTTCCTTACACAATCTTTGCATATATATTATGACTTCTGGTGTTGCATTTTATGGGATTCCTGTGTGTGTGTGTGTTTGTGTATGTGTGTGTCTTTGTATCTTTATGTGTTTCTCTTGCTTTTTCTTCTGTTTATTTTATCCTATTGTGGTTTATTTGTTTTTGTTTTCTCATATCTCTTTTAATATTGTTCTTTAGATGCCTGATTGTTTAATGAGGTGGCCAAGGGGGAGGAGGAAGGGTAAAGGGGAGAGGGAGAGACACAGATGGAGGGAGGGATGACTGGAGAGAGGGAGGGAAGAAGGGAGAGAGTAAGGGACACAGAGAGGGGAGATTTGGGTGGGAGGCAAACTGGTGAGAGTCTCAGAGGAGTTAGAAGACGATAAACTGTAATCAAAATATTAAAGGAAAAAATTCAATAAAAGAACAATAGGGAAAAAAGAAGCCCTCAGGAGTGAAAAACAAAGGCTAAAAAAAACCCAGCTTCTAATGAGCACATAGAAACATTCTTCAGAATGTAACTGAGTCTAGTGTCAGGAAGTAGACTTGCTATCCTGAGAAACTAGGTATGTGGCACTTACTTGACTTGTTGGAATTATAAAATTGTTCAATATCAGATGATAGCATAAGCATCATTTCTAGTAGGTGGTTCAGCCCATCCCTGCATCTTTTCAGAGTTGGTCTTGTTTCCTCCATTTCTGTTCAGAATGAATTTTACTGCTGCCCTGCTCGATATTCTTCAACAACTTTCTATTCTCTATCTGTGACTGACAAGCTAAAATCTCAGTTTAGCATCAAAACTCATCCATGGCTTCCCATAGCCTCAGATGTGGTCCCATTCCTGGCCTGGGTCTGAGGATGCCATCTCTATGTCTTCAATGACACAATAGCACTCAGCCTCTGGCTTAATTAACAAGCCTTTGAGTAAGACTGCATATGTTCTGCCACCTTGTTAAAACCCTACCATTCTCTTCCTGTGTGCTTGTCATAGCAGTCTCAGTTTGTCTCATACAGTGACAGACACTACTAGAAAACTACTACAGAGGTCCATGACTCTCTTCCCAACAATGCCTTTCCTTTTCTGCGCAGTTCACCACAAAAGCACCATGCCTGCTCTACAGGCAAAGCAAAGCCAATGAATAAGAAATGGAATCCACGTTCACTGCTGGGACAGATGGAGCCAACACAGATACACAAGGCTTTGTCTTTTGTCTATTTTGCCTTTTGCCCCCACGCCCAACTGCCAGTCTCATTACATGTGCTTGGAAGGGGATAGAATATGTCTAAAAAAGGCACTTCAATCTTGGATGAAGATAGGTGATGAATGATTGACAGCACAGAAGCAGGACTGCTCTGCAATTTGTTAGGGAACATTGATAATACAATGACCCCTGTTCACCAGTAAGAGTAAGCCACACAGAGGTTATGTGCTGTCAATTAGAAAACCAAAAGCATTATCAGGGTCAAACCACTCAGTGGCAAAAGGACCTGCCTAACTTTAGCATCTAGAATCCTGTGAACTGGCCTTGCAGCACATTTGACCCTTCCAATTGTTAGCCAGTTAGGGAGGTACTCTCTAGTGACGGAATGGCAACTTCAAAAACACAGATGATAAATGAAAATGCAGAAATATATCCAAGTTCTAAAGTAAGGAAAAAGAACAGTGCATCACTTGCGATAGAAACACAATAACTGATTTTACTTAATTCTTGTGAATCTGGAAGAAAATGTCATACCAAGACTTCTGATGCCAGTTTAATTCACTCCCAAATCCAAAAGGCTAAGTGTGGTGGCAAATGTCTTTAATCCCAGCACATGAGAGGAAGCTCTATGACTTCAAAGTCAGGCTTGCGTATACAGTAGTGAGTTCTAGGCCAGCCACGACCTACTCTCAAAAAGAGGTTCAGAGGCAGAGAGGGAGGACCGAGATGTGAAGATGTCAGTCTTTCTGTTGAGTGTGGAAATCTCACTGTTGGCAGCATCATGACCTTGGTAGTGTTTATCATTACTTCTAACAGCAACGACAAAACAAAAGATTCTTCAACATGCAGCATAACTTTATAGAGATGCGTGGTAAGTCATATATTTAGAGACTTCAACAGTGTGTAATGAGATATCTACAAAGAGAGGGTTCAGAAAAGGGCACAGCAATGAAATTAGCTTCCCTTTATAGAACCTCCCAGAGAAGTACCCCAGTGCCATTTTGAAGCAAGATGTTGATAATGCAAGTTTACAAAGTTACTGCTAGTTAACTAGTATGAGCTGATAGTCATGTTCTTAGCATGACAGTGTATATCTGCTACCACCTAGGAGATTGGGTACACAGTGGGGTCCTGTTAGATCAGGAGGTGGGGCCACTAGCTTTAAGGGGATGTAAACAAGAATGAAAGGCTCTCAAAAGAATTTCATTTTCCAGACAGAGTAGATATCATGGCTGGAGCATCACCTACCTGTGGGGCCCGAGGCTTGTAGGGTGAGCTGCACTCCAAATCAGCCAAGATGCTGGTCAACGAATCAATCTCTGCATCCAGGCTGGAGCGCCTTTCCTCCAGGGTCTTGCCTCCAGGATTTCCCTGCTGAAAACACACATATTCAAACTCAATAAGACACCACAGAGAATATTATGAGTTCAAATTTCACTGGCAAAAATTTGCTCCTTTTTAAAGTTTCCTTTTTTTTTCTTTTCTGTTTTCTTTTTCTTTTGTAAGGTTTCATCAAATCTTAGTAAGGTGGGCAGAAAGAAATAACCACTTTTGACAAAGAAGACCACAGGAAAAAAACAAAAAAAACCTTGCTATGTTTTACTCTAAAGCCATATACTTAAGACATTTTGAAGAAATTTTAAGTAAAATAAATTAATGCCTCAATGCGTGCACTTTAGGATCAGTACAACTGAGGCCCTCTGCACTAAGAAATCATTGATGGTACTTTAGTGGAGAAGCAATTGTTAAGCAGGGTAACCATATCACAATAGGACACTCAACACTTCACACCACAAAGCAGAAGAGATTAGTCTTTGGTCAGTGGCAGTAGATATATATGCTCATGTGATGGACGCCTAAGCACAGCTCCTAACACATGAGGCAGAAAGAGGTGAGTTAGGACGCTGGTTATGGCTGCACAGGAAGCACACATAGTGAGTATGTGTAAGGGAGCTGGGGAGCAACGGGACTTGTCCGCCAATGGTCCCTGCTACCCACACTCAGAGCCAATAGAAGGAGAAGGGAGAACATAGTACTCTTTGGCCATTGTCAACAACTATGGGCAGAGCTGAAAAAGCAAGAGAACAGTCTGCCTACAGCTCAAGCAAGGAGATAGATAAGGAGGTGGCCCTAGGATTTAGAAGAAGGGAGGGATATTAAAATTACAAACTCTGAAGCAAATATTTCTGTCTATAGAGTAAGTGGGATCAGGGACACTGAAGAAAGGCTATACCAGAACTAGTTCCTTTTTTTTTTTTTTTTGAGTGTTTGCCCACCATACCACTTTCTCTCAGTTTTAGATGCTCTTTAAATGTGGTACCACAACATGAATGGACTCTGACGTATCAATCAACCCAATGCAGTCAGCATATGGAGAGCCCCAATACACCATGGTCTGCATCAGTAAAACTGGGAATGCCAACTACATACATATTGAAAATTTGAGATCAGTTTCTAAGATGCTACCCCAGATTATCATGTCTCTTCCTCGTGTCTGAGTCTTCTTTAAATATGGATATCTGTTAATAAGCTATCCAGAGTACTTGTCTCATGATTTTGACCCCTGGCATATACTGTTGATACTACCTATTCTTTCAATATCCTCAATCCACTGTTTGCTTTTCTAATTGTACCAGCTGCTATCTAAACATTGTCCTTTTAACCATTTGGGTAAGGTCATTCTCATCCCTACAATAATGTAGGATTGATGAAAGAAAAGATGTACCTTGTAGATTTCCCCAAGTTTTGATCAGGGCCTGAACTGTGAAATGGTCAATAGGCATTTTTTTTTTAATTTATTGATGAACAATGACACTGTCAGTGTTAAAATGATTTTCATTCTGTAACCATTCTTATATCAACAGCTTTTGGGTAAGGGGCATAAGATATAATAGGAACAGGTAAGTCCTCTAATATATGATGTAGAAATGCAATCAAATAGTTGAGAACACAATGGACCTGGGTGTATATTCTTGGACATCACACTGGCTAGCACACATTTCAAAGGCTGAAAGACTGTCCTAGAGCTCCTGCCCCAGCCCACACTCAGAAATAGTGCTTTATAGGTATATTGTGTTTTGTCAGAATCTGAGCTTCAATGTTACTCAACTTTTTAAGTTTATACTATTTTATTTACTATTAGAGTTAGAGGTGTGTGTGTGTGTGTGTGTGCGCGTGCGTGTGTGTGTGTGTGTTCATGCATGTACACACGCACATGTGCTCTAATGTGGGCACATGTGTATACCCACCCCACACACAGGCCATAGCCTGGATTGGCGGTCAGAAGAAAACTTTGTAGAGTTGATTGCTTCCTTTCACCTTAATGTGCGTTCTGGGGATATAACACAGATCATCAGACTTGTACAGCAAATACTTTTACCCATGACTAAATTATCAAGGTTGATGATATTTTTGTTACAGAAATACTAATGTGCCTCTCAGAGCGTCTGCTATTTACCCGCAATGCAATAGTATGGGAATCGCAAATTGAAAAGACAAGGATCCCTTTTATTTGTGAGAGGTAGGAGAACATTCTGCATAGCCAGAGTGACATCAGATGAGAAGGTAGGGTGCACCACTTCAAAGGATGAATACTGAGAACTAACTGAATTTGTTTTATGTGTGCCCCTAAAATTATCATAAGCAGAAATTTGATAAGTGCATACACATACATACAATATGTTGGTGAGGACACTGGATTGTATTCTGGTTAAGTGCTTCCCTGAGTTTCTTCATCTGGAAAAAGAAGAGACCATCACCCACCCTAACTCAGCCAGAGATTAGTTAAAAACCCAGAAAAGAAAGTGGATGGGAACATACTTGGTAAATTGTAAAGTGCTATAATTATGATGATTTTCATAAATAGCAATAATTATAGCAACCAGTAACTATAAATTAATAGTCATAATATAACTATTGTTAATTCTTCTTCTTGAGGTAAGCATCACTCATTAAGTGTTCCCTTGGGGTACCAGCGAAAAGACAGGATATAATCAGTTCTTTAACTTCTGTACTTTACTGTAGCACAAAATATAATAAGTGCCTATGGCCTGACTCATAGGATTCTAACCACAAAGACCCAAGTCACAGGATTAACCTGAGCTATACAGTGAAATAACTAATTATGAACTGTGACCAGCCCAAGCTTGTAGACCTCCACTGGCTCCAGTCTCCTATGCTCATGGGAGAGTTGGGACTGATCTCCATTTCCCCTTGTCAGGTTAGGTTGATGCAACAGACTAACAAGTCCTAGCCTCACTCTAGCGGCTTCTGTAGGTACAACCCCCAGCTACCCTACCTGACCTGATATAATAGCTTTGTGTCTGCATTTTGATCCTCATTGTGAAAAAGGAACAGACACTTTCTCCTGCCAAGGTGTCTCTTTTGTATCTTGGCTCCACCCCCAGAGTTCTGCCCAAGTTCCCACACAAACTCTTTTCTTAATACGCTCATCTACTCTCCAAAGATTCAGATTTATGTCTTCTCTTGCTCTTCACAAAACAGCTTTAAATGCACCTGAAAGAATCCTACATCCTTACCAACATTCTCAGTATGGTTCTGCATGTCAGAAAATGGTTACACAGCTTACCAGAGGCCAAATAATAACTAGGAGGAGTCCCTGGTGCTTTGCATAATGTTGGTTCTAGATATAGCAGGCACTCCTATAAAGTAGCCATTGTAATACCAGTTTTCTACCCTCTCTGGTCATAACCAGAAAGATCCCATGTGTAAGTCTGGCTTCCCTGAGAAACAATACTGTGCCAGAAGGCCTGTATGCAAGTTAATTGGGGAATTGATCCCCAAAGCTCCTGTTGAGGGTGCAGGAGGAATGAAAGACAATCCACATTGTCAGCCTGAGCTCATCACCAGTGTGGGCCCCTCCTCGTGCTTCTTAGAACTGCATGGACCTGTTTTGATGAACACCCCTTATATTTCTCAAGCTTCTGCTTTTGTCTACAACTGTTCTAGGACTTAAAAATTCCCAATGCTTCACTCAAGGGATGGAAATGGTTACATAGTCCAGACAGTACAGAACAGACAGTGAAGTGAGCAAAGGACACCAAGGGTGCCAGTGTTTCACACCTGTGCAGAACTCACTGCAGCAATGACTAGACTACAAGAATTAGACAAGAAGACAAAAGCCAGGGCTAAGAGGGTATCCACATACTGAATTCCCATGACTGAACTATCCACAAGATGTAATTGCCACACGAGTTGTTTCCATTTATCCCAGAAATGCATGTAGATAACTAAAACCCAACAAACTACATTTGAGGCTTATTTTGACATTTGGGGAAAAATATCATTTGAGGTGGCACTGGTAGAATTACGGGGAGATGATGCCACCCTGGAAGCAACATGAAAGCAGACTATGAAAGATTGGTCCCCAACAGACACACATGGCATGTGGGAGAGATAAAGCTAGACTATACCAACAGACTGAGCAAGGTAGACTGTCCTTTACCTCAAATGCTGTTAACTGACTAAGAGCAAAGGAGATGGGGCACTGGCACTGAGGAAGGTAGAAATGTCATGTTTATCTACTCATTGCTTGTACTTATCATTGTTATTAGGAATTTCAAATATTTTTTATGAAATAAACATAGATCTAGCCTCCAAATTCAATATTTCAACCCATTTGCAGTCCATTTCTAGGAATTATACTCACTGCTGCAGATAAACTATGAATAAGATGTTGCCTCCCTACCTGACACCATTGCAGTCTGCATGACCTTCAAATGGCCAGATTCCTGAGGACTATTATCATACCAGGGAAACTGAGCATGTTGGCAGTACTGCATACCTGTATATTCACATACTACGGACCTCATACTTGCATATTTACATGCTATATAATACATACCTTCATCACATACTACAGATATCACACCTGCATATTCACATACTACAAACATGCATACTCACATACTACAGGCTACCTCCCTGCATATTCACATTTGATTTCATGTTTCAGCACCAGTCAGCCCTAGGAATCCTTTCATCTAGTATTGCTAATTTACACTCAAAATGGAATTAAAGGCCACACACTGAACTATGGAATCTGTTAATTCCCATTCAGCACTGGCTAGCTTTGTCAGGCCAGGTTATCTTATAAAAACTGAACGACGTGCATTTACTTGATTCTTAGGTTCACATCAGACATGCTGGAGAGAAACTACAAGCATGACACATGACATTATAAGCATATCACACCATGAAGCTTGAGACTTGACTCAGAAATAGTACTTTGTGACTCCAACTTTGATAGTTGAATTAATTCAGGAAGGTCCTACCATCCTTTACTACTACTGTAAAAGTATCCTAGTTATGTACAAGTATCCCCATATATTAAGTGTCAATATATGAGAGGT